AAAAAAAAAAAAAGAAGATAGAAACAATAATTTCTTTCACCTGTGAGTGGCACCCTCTTCCCTGTTGTAGCCAGAAAAGTATTCTGTCTCTAGCCAATTGGGTTTGAATGTGAGGAATGCCAAGTTTCTGAAGGTGGTCCAAACTTTAGAGGCTAATCTGCCAAAAATAAGGAGATGACCTGTGGACTCTACTCTCCGATTAGCATGATATACACATGCTGAAACCAAAGGAATGCCAAGGTGTCAAATGCTGTCATCTGTAGGAATATCCCCTTTCAACAGTTTCCAAGCAAAAAGAAAAAGAGATTTTGGGGGGTATTCTTTTGTTCCAAACCAAGGAATGCCAGGGGTTAATAATATCTCTCTGATGGAGAGAATACCAAGCTGATTTACATGAGAAATTACCACTTAGATAGAGTTTCCATAACTGAATGTCCAAACCATCTTTCGGAAGGGATGAAAGAGAAGTCAAAATGTGTGGCAGTAGGTTGTTTTCAATTCAGTCCCACTGCCACACACCATTTCTGTCCTGGATATCATTTATTTTCAGCCTGGGATCAATTATGTTAGGGTGTAGAGCATATCTGAATAGAGGCTCATTGCCCCACCAATTTTCTATCCAGAAAGAAATATTGCCAGAACAAATATGCTAAGTGGTGCAATCAAAAAGATGATCAAGCATACCAATAGTAACTACCCAGGTTAAGGATCCCTTATAGTCTCCCTGCAAATGCCATCTAGAAAAGAAATTGGCTTTGAAGAATTCGGCCCAGCAGCTATCTTGATTCTGTGTTCTCCTTTACTTGCATCATTATATTTCTCCAATTTTTTTTATAATTCTCTTTTTTAGTTTTTCTGTTTTTTACCTTTCTGTATTTAACTATGCTTATGGTTGTAATTTTGTTCCATTTATTTCTACTTCAGGTTGGCATGGCTGCAAACTTGAGGGACTTTGTTTTAACTAATCATGAAGGGGTAGAGGTAAGGAATAGAGCTGTATTGGAGACACTATGATGCATTTCTTATATGCCCGTACTTTCTATGAGGAACACATTATGTGGAATGGAACCCTTAATTCACAATGCAGTTCCAATGCGATGTTATATGAATGAGAAAGCTAGCATGTTACTTTTCTGGTCACCCTTTATCTCAAGAGAGGTGGTATGTCTTAGGTTTGCGATCATAGATACTGTAATCCACTGATGTAGGACAAGTTAGCACTTCGGAGTCTTACAATTTTCAGATCTGATGGTGAGCTTGTAGGGTGAAGACAATTTGGGTGATTTATGATGAAGAACAGATATGGAGAAGTAAATAGACAGCTTACTATCCATCAGAGAATGAGCAGGATATTAGAAAGAAAGAGAAGAACTCTCAGGGGTGCAAATTGGAGAGAGAGAGAGAGAGAGAGAGAGAGAGAGAGGGATATTCTTAGGTAACCCATAGGGATACTTAAACAACTCTAATAACTCATTACTACTCTTACAAAAACTAAGAAAACCAAAAACAGCTCCAAGAGTAGCCAAGAAATAAAACCGAAATCCCATCATTGATGAACAACCTATCAACAGAACAGCTATATCTCTCTCAAAACATACAGATTTACATAGTACCAGTTTCATTGGTTAGATAATGATGCCAAAATTATGCAAAACAGAAAATCTCTGGTCCTTGAGAAATAGGCTAAAATAAAAGTGGCATTATCCAAACTTCCAAATTTTCAAAATAAAAAAAAAATATCTAATAAGACTTATTAAACTATTTTGACCCTTTAAGATAACTAACCTTAGCTCTATGGCATTAATAAACTAGAAAATGAATTTAGAAAGAGAAAACTCAAAAAAAAAAAAAAAGTAACTCCTTTGCCGATTCCATATCTCTTGAAGGAGTTAGTAGACAGTTTATGATGTGAGGTGAATACCCACTTTGATAAAGGAGAAGTTTTCATGTAAAAGGAGCCCATCAGGGCAGTGGGAGAGCAGTTGTGGGCTACCTCAATAGATCTGTACTTTTGTGTAAAGAGTCTTTACACTTGTACCTTACACTGTACATTTCTGATACTTGATAAAAATTTTACTAGTTACTGATTAAAAAAATGAATATCTCAATCACAAAAAAAATATGAAATTGGTATAGAAATTGGAAGAAAATTGATTTGTTCTCCATGGATTCTTTCCTACTTCATATCTGCATTATTTATACTCAACTCAACTGCACTACCCAGTCCCCCCAAAGGTTAAAGCATTGTCTTTGGTGGTTACTCTCCGTGGATGGTACCTTGGTTAGTGATCATTTTGGTTTTTTGCTAAGAAGACCAGTTATTGATCATTTGTTGAGTATAGGCTTTTGGATGGCCAGTTTATGTTTTGATTGTCATAAGATATTCCTCATTTTGCCCTAACTTTTCTTGAAGTATGTAGACAAAGATCCTTTTGAGTGCTTTCCCTTCTAATCTGATGAGGAATTTGAGGAGAAAGAAATAGAAGATTATTGAAGGAAAAAGAAAAAGTGGTTAAAGAAGCTTAATTCAAGAAACTATCTTTGGATTCCCCTCTCCTTCTCATAAAGTTGTTCTACCGGCAGACAAGAAATTGGATATGGGGCAATTTCTATTATGTTGGAAGGGTTATGATATTGGAACAACTTTGACTAACCAGACCCCCCTGGTGAATTTTGATGAATGCCAGCTGATTGGTTACCGCTTTTATGATATTGATTATTGGTTATCAGTTTTCTAGGTATCATGCCTTTGGGGTCAGAATCACTTTCTATTTTCATGAAGCCTCTTTAGCATTCTTCTGCTGTAGCTGTAATAATTGGTAAATTTGCTATCATTTTCAGTTTATTATATTACAAAATTAAGATGTTCCTTCCCAGGTGAAAGGATCTGAAGTTCTAACTCATGACCAATTGCCTGTTGCATATGCTTTGTGCCCCATCGAAACTGTAAGTATTGTTATAAGATTTTCCTGTCTAAACAATCTTAGTGAGCTAGAGCTTGTGATTCTATCCCGCTGATTTTCCATTTCTATTCATAAACCAGATTAATTATGTCTCTGCTCATGACAATGAGACCCTGTTTGACATAGTGAGCATGAAGGTACATTTCACTTAAAACGATTAAAGTTTTTTGTCTTAAACATAGTAGAAGTTGGAGTTTTTATATTCCCTTTTATGGAAGTCTTAACTCATAAGCTATTGTATTTGTATAGACCCCAGTGGAAATTTCTGTTGATGAGAGATGCAGGATAAATCATTTGGCAACAAGTATAGTAGCACTTTCACAGGTTCTTTCTATCTTTGTGGAATCTTTTGTTTCTAAAGATGATGATTATCTGGAAAAAAGCACCAAGATAGTGTGTGCTTTGATTTTCTTAAAACTGATGTAATTTTTTTTGTGTTCTTCAAGCAGCCCTATTAATCAAAATAAGCAATAAAAGAATTGAACAGTAATATTTAAAGAAGAATGAGAAGAAAAATTGTGCTAATAGAAACAATCGGTGCATTGCTTTATCAGCCATGCGCAGCATGATGCTATGTCCTATTGTTAGAGTCGGCTATTAAGGGGTAGTTTGGTCATTTTGTCTTACATTAAGTGTGTGGTGTAATATCTTTTATAGTTTACTTTAAGTGTTATGTCTCATACTTAATTAGGGGTGTAACTGTCTTTGTAACACTCATTAGAAACATATAAATACTACTTGGCCGACTAGAGAGGGTGATTTTTCTGTAGTTTGAACCAAGGTTTTTCTCTCCCATCTCTCCTCTTCTCTTCTCTCTCTCTCTCTCTCTCTCTCTCTCTCTGTTCTTTTTCTTTATCATTCTAGGACTGAAACCAGTGCATATCAGATCTGTAATACTTATCATTAAATAAAAAATCAAGTCTATGTTATTTCATGATTTATCCTTTTCCTATTTCCCTTTCTATAATCTTATTAATTTCCTATGATTAACACCTTGTCATATTTAATGAACACCATATGATCAATCTATGTACAACTAGTCCATGTTGCTAGAAGCCTAGAAGTGTCTAACCAAGTCTTGCTGATTGCTTTAGCATAGTGTTTTCTTAAGTCTACAAACTTACCATTTATTGTTAGGCAAATTGAAGTACAGAAATATCCCACTTTAATCATTACAAAAAACTGAAAGACTATTTTATATAACGCAATAGATCAAAGTGGAGTTGTTTCATGGTCTAGAATATCAAATGAAGAATATAGCAATAATGAGAAAGAAACAGAAATAGAAGGATCTAAGTTGGGTTTTATCTTGGGAAAAAGTTTATCTCGTCTCAACAAAGCCTTATCCTAAATATGTGGTTGGCTACTTGAATCCTGTTTTATCATTACACTGTCATGGGCCATGTCCATCATGGGAAAGTTCCCACAAAAATTATGGTATTAGCAAAATGATGATATTTCTGGACATATCATTGATATTTTGGAATATTGTAATAGCCTGAACCTTGCATAGAAGACCTACTACTGTAGAAATAAGGGTTTACTTAATGCAACTTGATGGTTCTAAAAGAGCCAGGAGAAGGCCAAAAGGGACATGGAATTATCTGGTTCTGAGGATTGGCATTTTAGTAGAGGCTATGGCCCTTGATAGGGTTAAATAATAAAACAGAACATGTAGGGAAGATTGATATGGTTGAATAGAGCTCTTTTTTTTGTTAGTAACAGATCAAGGAGATTTTATGATGTGGACGCGTATTGGGAGCAGCAGCAGCAATGATCCAGTGTTCTCATCCTATCCAATTCGGCAGCAACAGTCTTATCCATTCGGCAGATTAGATTAGACTATCTTGTTATTCTTATCTTATCTTATTAAGTTAGTAGATTAGATTATCTTATCTTATNGATCCAGTGTTCTCATCCTATCCAATTCGGCAGCAACAGTCTTATCCATTCGGCAGATTAGATTAGACTATCTTGTTATTCTTATCTTATCTTATCTTATCAGTCTTATCTTATCAAGATAGAGCTGGAGGTCTCCCTATTCAGCAAGGAGTCTCCCTAAGAGCAGGACTCTTGTAATCTCCTATTTAAGGAGCCACTATTATTGAATGAAGGCATCGAATATTCAGTCAAGAAGAGAGTAAGGAGAGTTGGTGATCTCTTGAACAAATCACCCCCTAGGCGCCAAGATAGGTACCTCAAGAAAAGGAAGGGACAAGGGAAAACAATAGGGTTTTCCTGTGGACCGACCCGTGACGAGATCCTATTCCCGGGCCCATAACAACTTGGTATCAGAGCAAGGCGTCATGGGTGATCTGGAGCAGCTGTCGTCCAGGGTCCACAAACTCGAGCACCGGCTCGTGGAGACCAGCTCGGAAGTACGGGAAATGAAGGACGAAGTCAGGGAGCTACGACTCTGATGGAGTTATTCCTTTCTAGCAAGGAGAGGAACACAGAAGGGGCGGCAGCCACTAGCATCCGCCGACCGGATCTGTCGGAGTCTTCCGGCGAGCAGCAAATCGTCAACCAGGGGGCCACGGTCATTCCCAAGTACAGCAGGTTGGAATTTCCGTCGTACAACGACAACGGAGATCCCTTGGGTTGGTTGTATCGGTGCGAGCAGTTTTTTCGCAATCAACGGACAGACGACCGAGACAATGTAAGCCTAGCCGCCTTTCACCTAACGGAGGAAGCACAACTCTGGTTCTATCGATTGGAACAGGAAGAACCCGGGCTCAGTTGGACCCAGTTCAAATCCTACTGCCTTCTTAGGTTTGGGCCCCCACTGAC